TAATTTATGTATTTCAAGATAATTGACTATAACTCAAAATATTTAGATGTTATTTTTTCTCCAAAACTTTAGGCATGTTCGATATTTTCAAAATCAGACAAAGAAATATTATCAATATACAATATTACTTAAGTCATTTGCTTACGTTTTTTTTCAAGTATAAATATTTTAAAAAAAATGCAAAAATTTCAACTTGCGTTCGGAACAGTAGATGCTGAAATGGCCAATTTAAAAAATGTGAGGTCTAAAGGACCGAGCAGATTATTCCCGTAAATAAAATACGCCAAATGTAAATTAAAAAAATGTTTTATTTTTTTTTTTTTAGAGCTTTGTGAGAAAATTAATAAACCGTAAAATTGAATCCACTTTTACCTTCCCGTATAATACGCACTACGCCATCAAACTCCAACATAAAAATAATATGATCAAACTATAGTTATTAAACAGATATCTATACTGCACAATTATTATTTTATTTATTTTCTTGGACTTTAGTATCTAATATAAAATTAAATGTTCCTAGGGTTTAGTACACTAGTACACACAAATATATAGAAACAAAAAAACATATTTATTTATTTATATTTTATCAATATATACAATGTGATTCACCGAGCACGCTCGCGCCACTATTTTTTCTTTAATAATGAATTTATATTCAAATTCTGATTTTTGGAATTTTTAAATGATGTATACACTCAAAGAAAATGTTGTTCAAATTCTCGAATTTTTTCGACTATTATTAAGGAATAATTTCCTGTGGCAATACAAACTTCTGTTCTTCATATGAAAACCCCCTTTTTATTTTAACATTTAAATTACTTAGTGGATAATTCTTTTTGAAAACTCTGATGAAAGTAACTAATTCAAAATTTGAGCCAATGCTATCTCAGTTATTAAAATATTAATACTAAGAATAATAGTCCTTAAAACTGGTTTTACAAAAATATAAAATAGATATAATATAGGATCTTATAGTGCCTATTTATTAAACATGGTCATTCTTATAAATTACTGATGTTGATAAATTAGTTTTAATCACTAAAAAATCATCATCGTGGCCTATTATATCTCCCAAACTTATAAGTTATAATCTTAGACATATATATTATCCTTAGTACACTAAGTTCAATAGCTCAAAACTACTCGTGTATTCTCATTCGAATACGTCATCAATTTCAGAAAAATTATCCTCTAAATAATATACTGCAGAAATAGAGGAGGTCATTAGTATAAATAATCTCAAGAATTTGAAAATGCATTCTTAAGACCTGTATTTAAAATTTCAAAAAACTGCATTGTTGAAGAATAAAAAAAAGGCAGAGCATGCTTGGTGAATCACTCTGTATACATTCCTATTTTTAAAAACTGAATTTTTTACAAAAAATCCCCAGCAAATCTTTTGAAAGAAAAAACGAAGTGTTTAAAATGCATAATACAAATGGTGATGTATTATGATTATTGAAATAATGATATATCGTAGCATAGTATGATATGTAATTTAGACGTTTATGACATATACGTAGTCGATTGAACTACGAACCAAACGCCGTATATGTTTTCGACAACTAATCAATACAAGCTTTGTGATTCTGACCGCAGTATAATAGCAGTTGATTTTGTTCTATATGGCGATCCGAAATAGACTGACCGAAACTGGTTTACTGACATCGATGCCAAATTATTTACACCCACTAAAATACGATTTAAGATAGGTACCTAATTTATTAATAATAATAATAATAATAATTTTTGATCAAAGCGAACAGTTCGCGGAGACGTAATAAAATATTTTATCGGTGCGACAAATCATTAACGACTCGTAAAACGTACGAGCTCATATATTATATATATATATTATACATGTTACGGTAATACATAATAATTACGTGATTGTGACTTGCAACTAGAAGTTATAACAATTTACAGACGATGCGTGCAGAAAACTGTTGAACAATATTCTATTTATTGCTTGTTTTTTTTTTTTAGGTGATTTTATTTAAAATAAATTTAATTATTTTATAGTACTACAACAGTAAAGTTATAATCAATTAAACTAAATTAAATATTAATTTAATACAATAATATTGATAAATGAAACCTAGATTGTATAATATATACAATTAAATAGACATAATAATAATATGTCAAATGTTGAAGATATGCAAGAAAGATAAAAAAAATGGGTACACCTACCTACTTACACGATACATAACATGATAATATGAAATTTGTTGGTGGTACTAATACCATTACGGTAATAATTTTGAAACGAGTATATTATTGGAAATGCGAGACGTAAGACACGTGCGTATACAGCGGACTGATGATGTTATTGAAACCCCACAATAATATATTATTATTGGCAATGGCTGGACCGAGTCCGACGACGTGAGCAGGGGTGACCCCGCTGTGATTTGATTGCATAATATTATGTTTTGACCGGTATAAAATGCTTATTCGCTTTTATCATCATAAGCCACGAGATTGACTGCTTTGTCTACAAGTTTTGTACGGTTTGTTCGCCTGCGTCTAGTATTTCGATAGCATACCTAACCGTACACGCGCCCAGCATCGAGTTTGCAAAAATGTGTTTCAAATAATATTATACGTTCTTAACGACGACGTCGACGCCGATTGAAATGGACTTTTGACTTTTTCGTCTTCGATAACGGCAATTTATTTCTTTTGGATTTATGACATATTATGTATAATATAATAATATTAATAAATTATAGTGTAATGTACAAAATGTGCTGACCCGACCGCTTACCCAGGGTGTAACACAAAGACCCGACAAATTAAATAACTTTTGTTCTAAACAAAATTATTACTATTTATATATATTTAATTTACAGAAACTGGCGCTACACGTATAGTATAACATGTTTTATTCTCATTTTTATATTGATGGTAAAACATTTAAATCTTATAAAATTTTCTTTTTTGATAAAGTTCAAAATAGCCAATTTGTTAACCAGGTTTTTGGAAAAATGTTGTTTGTCAAAACATGTGTTTAAATCATGAAGTTTATTTTTACAATTATTTGAAATCTTATTGTTTTTGTTAAGTAAAGTTGATCCAGTCGTAAACAATATTTTCTAAATGGAAGTATACATTTTTTCAAATATTTTAGAAAGGTACTTGTAAAAATCTGAATATTTCTTAAAAGTTATTACTTTTCAAATAAACGAGTCTCTTATACTTCAAACATTTTGACATTTTAAAAAATCATAAAAAATAAACCATTTGACTTAGATAAATGTTTTTACAGTCAAAAGTTTTCAAAAAACCAGCTTTCCAAATTGACTTGTTTTGAAATTTACAAAAAATAATTAAGTCAGATTTAAAATTTTTTATTTTCAGTAATAAAAAATAAAAATATAAGAAATTATACAGTATACGTGTAACGTACGGGTCAATAAATTATAAAAAAAAAACAAAATAATATTGGTTAGAAGAAAAGTCATTTCATTTGTCAGGTTTTTGTGTTACACACTTACGCACTGTATACCTAGCTAACATGATATGTGCTTAAATAATCGATTCGTTCAATTCACGCCAGCCAGCAACGATCGATGTCCCAGCTATATAATATTATATTTGTTCACTTCCCATAATTACTATGGGTGATATTGTCGTTAGGTATAATCGTCTGGTCATAATAATAATAATAATAATAATATAATATAATATAATATAAACGTATCAACTGTTGAGCTTTGGTTAATATTATACTCCGTACAAGAACCTATCCGTCACGTGGCACATGATGTGCCGCACATCACAATAATTGAAATCACGACGAGTGCAGGCTGCTGCGTATATCCATATAATATAATATAATATAATATAATATAATATAATATATCGTCGAAGAGCACTCAAATATTGACTCATCTAATCCAATAATATTACCAGCTGGACTGTTTTTTCCTTTAAAGCGACCATATAGTATTATTATTATCCGCCCAGTTCAAATATTTTTATATTTTATACCTACTCGTAGGTACATTGTTGTTATTGTTTCTAATAATATATAACTGTAATCATTGAGTATAGACAGTACTATCCATACTCAATGCTGTAATATATGTATATAATTATTATTTATTAAACTGATCCGGTTAGGTATACGAATAATAATTATCCATCGTAAATATTATTTTTTTTATACAAATGTATGTGTATTAATTTAGTGTTTATTACACAAATCGTGCAAGTGCCCACACCAACAACAACGCGTGTACGAGTTCAACGTAAATGGCAGTACATTTTAAGTCCTTTGAATTTTTGTGTCAAATATTTTATGTTTGTTATTACAGACATAGCCAATACATCCATTATAGAACATGTTCGCAGAATCGCGGTAGACAGGTACATGGAAAAGTCGCAAATCCCGTGTGCGCACACAAACTATACATCATCATTGACGCATTGTTATAGGGTACTATCGGCTTATCACAATGAAATGAGATGGTTCATATTTAAATTTTATTTACCTATGATGATTTCAAATTTCAAAAACTCTCAATAATATTTCCTTGGCTACAAGATGAAGTCTCATATTGTTGACAATTAAGTCTTGCGTTTTTCTGGCAAAAAAAATACATGTGTTCTATATTTATTGTTTAGGCTCAAGTCCCCCCTCCCCCCTAGCTATGGCACTGCGACAGACATAGGTACAATTTACGATGATGCTTAAAAGCCCATGATTCAAAACACATGTGAATTATACCGGAAAGTCTGCAGATCAGCAGGAGTGTATTTTAGCCCCCCACTCTACGTGTAAAATATACCGGTACGACTTCGAATCAAAATCAAACGGTTTTGACATTTCATCTAACGGTCCATTCATTTATTATTCTTTTTAACCAGATTAAATTCATATTATACAACCGAGAACAAAATAAATACATCGCACCGGCGAGAAATGCCGGCATAACACGAAAACCTATTACCTCGTATAATGTATATAATATATATATATATATACTTACCTACTGATGATTAACAAGTTATATTAAATTAGTGGCCCCATAGGAATAATTAACCTTCTTCCGAATAAATATTTGAGTTCAACACTGAATATAAATAAGCGCAAATAAGACTAAAAACGGTGTTTACTCGAACCTCGCTTTGAAGGGCTATGAAAAAAACAAAATTATAATAAAACCATTAAATTTACCGCGCACCAAACAAAATACTTAACTCATTTTACATTAAAAAAAACTCTCCGTCAAAAGTAGATAGGTAGGTAATTCGTATTATGAAAATATATTCACGCGATTTAATAGATTATTTGCACTCAGAAATAAATATAGTACTTAATCGCTATAGAACGCTAAAATGTGTATCTTGCAGTGGATAACGAATTGTGAGATGTTCGAAAGGGTCATAATATTATATCCGAAACTTAATCAGAATCTGAATTTAATTATACTCGATATTATCCACCTACTATTTAATTCATGTTTTTTTCATCGACAATATTTATTAAATGTAAACTGGTCTGAAATCGTAAGATAATACACATAAAAAATGTATTATTCACATACATTATTATTATACCTATATAGCTATAAATTGGACCTATAAATTGGAGAAGGCGTATTCGGAGATAAATTTCAGACGAGACATTGGATATAATTGTTCGCTTGTACAACCGACAAAAAAATAAAAATAAAAATAAACCCAACCTAACCGTAAGTGGTATGCATATTACCTATACATATTTTTCCGCACACTATACATGACAATATAAATACATACTAATCGTATCGTTTTTAAATATTGTGTTCGCGCGTTGGTAGTGAATTTTTAATGGTTGGCGGCAAGATGATTATTTAATACCTTTGAATTTTTTATGCTGATAGACTTCTAAAAATACCACTAGCTACTAGTATCTATGGGTAGTCCATAGGCGTGTCTAGAATTAAACCATAGATGTGACCAACCAAATTGCTATTGAGAATACTTCAATAGCTTTTTTTCTGGTAGGAGAGTAAATCTATGGTTGTTACATTAGGGTACATTGGAGAGGGGGGTCAAACTAAGGGGTCAAACTAAAATTGTCCAAACATTTTGTCTCGTCTTACGCTATTTATAGACATTTTAAATTTGCATTTTTTGAATTTTGATCGAATTATATCAAAAATATAGTACATATTTCGAAAATCTCTGCGAAAATATTAAACGAACCTGTCTCGTGATTTGCTGAGTAAGTATAGCCAGACAGAAAAATAACCTTTGCGAAATAGCACCCTGAACTCTGAATTCAAAAAATTTGCCTGGTCGGCTCTACGTGATAAATATTTTACTATTTGTATTAGCGAGACGTATTTATTATGGGTAACATCAATTCAAAATTCTGCGAGAAGCTGATTTCGCAGGTATGGCCATGCCCATTATCATGAACACGACTATGGGCCGATAACAGTAGAAAATAAAAATTTGTTCATTTTGTTATTATGATCATTTGTAGGTGTAGAAGCCGTTTAAATTGTTTTCAAAATGACAAGAGCCGCGTGGATTCAAAAAGGTTTCAACCCCCTGCTTTATATTTTATTCGGGGCGAACACGTCATCGAAAGAATCGGAATCAAACAAATCGTTTTATATTTATACACCTAATGTGCGGTAATATCAGATAATATACATTATTTGACGTACGCGAGGTAATCGTAGGTCTACGTGACGTATGTGGCATACATATGCGGTATACCATGCGTGGTACTCTTGTCTAACGTATATTTGTTCAACCTGCAGCAATAGCCTATTATTGCAATAATATAATACGCATATATTGTACACGTGCATATATTAATATATTAACCGCAGCTCAGACAGTCCTGGACAAGGAAACTAATAGCGAATGCTTGTTTATCCTTTCGCGCAGTCGGTTTAAGGTTTATTCGACTAGGTGGATTTTCTACGAAATTGCACAACTCGCATAATATAATGTTGTTTTATCTGCACGATCGCGACAAAGGTTATACCTATAAATTCATCAGAATGTATACAATACGTATACGTACACAATGTCGCATGTACGTCCGGTAAGATCGGAAACCATTTTTAAAAAAAAAATATATATTATGTACAATAATATTATGTTATTATAGTGAACCCGAAGTCCGGCTTTATAAAAGAGATATCACAGTCGTCTGGTCCAACTGTATATACACAATATAGCTGGTACCTGTCTGTACTATATAAATACGCCCGTAACACACAATAATGATCAACATGTTGTTATGATAATAATAGTATTTTTTTATTGTGAGTCGTGGGTGGTATTATTTATACACAACCTGCTTAAAAATACTGTAAATTTTGTGATAAACGAATGTTAAACTACCGCGGACATTCGACTCCAAAGATAATATTATAATATATTATTTACAATTTCCATAGGTACGTTAGATCGTGGCTTTCGTGTCTCAAACGAATACGATATATGATCACACGCGCGTTTATTATTATAATCGGATGCAGTTCCGTTTCGTGTTCGAACCGCCAACCACATTATCACATTTTATTATTATTATTATTATTATTATTATTATTATTATTATTATTATTATTATTATTATATAGGTACGTGTATTAAATATCAACCTACCTACCTACCTACCTACTTATTATATCTTCGGCCTACGCGCAACAAAACAATTGTAATAATATATTATATTATGCCGTGTTACTGTGTTTGCACCTCTGCAATAATGGATTAATACGATAAAATATACAAATGTACCATAATATTTACGAGATACAGTCAATGGCGTCATTTCAGTTTTTAATAGTAGAGGTCAAAAGTTTTGACAATTTCCAGCTTATATATTAACTTTATTATGTCTGCGGAAAAAATAGCCTCAATTTTATAGCAAACAAAAAAAAAACGCGGAGTCAAATAAGTATGGTACCGATACTGGCTACTTTTGACCAGTGCCTCGGTGACATAGTTCTGCATTTTCCTAGAGTAGTACAACAAATTAAATTACTATAAAACGTATAATGTGCATTTCAAAAAAATTTTAATTCCGTCTACTATAATTGGGGTTTTTTTTAAAAAAGTGTATACATTTATTAGTGATTGTTTCACTTTTATATAGTATCAGAAGCCCAACGCGTACATATTTCGAACTAAACACTATAATAAACATTAATTTCTATCTTGAAAATAATTGTCTATAGTATCTACACAATATTAGTCTGCTCAAAATTAAAAAATGATTTTTTTTTCACCAACACTTTAGCTGTATTTCTTAAAACCATACGGGGCAAATGCCTATCTGCCCACCCTCCCCTCAAATGACGCCACTGGATACAACTTCTCCAAAATGTCCAGTATCAGTGTATCACCTCAATCATCTCCGTCGAAAATCAATATGCCGTTTTTTTCAACAGTAATATATAATATAATATATAAGGCATATATTATATTAAATGAAATGAAATTGAAATTTTCTTATAGATTACGTAGTGCTGTTGACAAATACTTATTTATTTTTCATTGTCTATTTCTTCTCAAGATTTTTAAAAACTAATGGTTATAGATTGTAAACATTTTGAAGCAGGACGGTCGATGGTATAATTTTATTAATATGAATGAATAGGGATGCCATATACAATTAATTATTTTTATGATATTATTAAAATGTACATAATAATATTGTTATACTGCAGAATACATTTTTACAAATCATTTTATTTATTCTGTGATTAAGTAGGTACACTTTTCATTAGTACCGGGGTATTTGCCAAATGTTGTTATTAACCGTGAACTGTTATTTTATTTTAAATGAATTAAATAATGGGCCCATCTAAAAAATATACTAATTATGAGAGACGATCGCCTTCTAACCGCCTGGACTGGTCAAGTGCCTTTTTCCCAATGATTATTTTTTGAGATACTATTTTGTACGATCGTTATATACCATTATAATATTAGCGATGAGCCACCGTTATTATATACAGTTCATAGCGGTTTTATCTTACTTAAACTCGTAATTAAAAGAATTAAAATTTATTCTCGAGAGCCAATTTATGTACATATTTTAAAAGCTGAATAATTTATAATTATTTCCATAAAGTATATTCAAACAGTTAGTCAAGACGTCTGAAAGTTTATGTGGACGGCGGCGGCGGTGGTTGACTCGGTATAGACGAGTGTGGGAAGTATATTATTATAATGTACTGTGTACGACTATAATATAGTGTGAGGACAAACACTGTGCGACTCGAGTCTATTTTATTATAAATGCCACAAGACACTTCTATAGTTCTATTATACCATGTGTCAACAAAACCAGGGTACCCTCTATATATCAGTTAATTATATGAGGCAGTCAATTCCCAATCCATATTTTTGAATTCTGTTTTTATGGGACATGAGACTAATAACGATCGGGATCCTATGACTTACAATATTTTATCTCATGCACCACAAGTTCACTCTTTATCTGTACTGATCCTATTTTCATGAGCACACGGTATACCTCGCTTGTACCGCGAACAATGGTAGACAAATAGAGGGAATTGTTTTTCAAGATCCTGGCGCAATATAATTAAATCGTAATGTGTTCTACCTTCGATTATTAACGTTACGTTACATATAGGCACACGTCGGCACACGCTGACGGTGTACCTACCATGGTTTAATATAATATATTGTCTTTTATTCAATAACGAATTCGTATTAAACCTATGGACAAAAAATGCCTACCCGTCGACAGCGTGTGTAAAATGATAATATCGTGTTATTAATTCTTTTCAAAATACGACCGGGGAATATACGCACGCTGTTACGTCATGCGGTGGCGTATGATGGATCAACAGTTTTGTACGTTATATATATAAATTGTTTTGAACTGTAAGCGCAATTCCGAATGTATAACTGTATAAGCATCTCACGTACGGTACCTACCGCTTATACCACGACCGCACTGCGGGGAGGGTATGTACCCAACATCACAAGTTGTCCGGATATACGGATGTGACTTCCGTCGATTTCTCGTGCAGACGTGCGCGTATCGGAGAGTTCAGCACCACTGCTGCAGTAGTCTGCAATAGTGCAATACAATATGGGTACTGCACAGTGCACGTACTCATTAATACGTCTCAGGATATGAGATTGAATGTTTAATAAAGGATGTATGCTTGCACAATGCACATGGGTACAACGTAAAAGCGATACATCATAATAGCAAGTATTAATAAGTACGATTGCTGCAGACTTCGCTTGATGGGGACACCTCGAGTTAGTCAGGTCAGCCGCTCGATAGGGACAATAAATTCTTCAATCGAAAAAATAAACTTACGATATTCTGTTGTCCGCAAGCAGTCTATGTTCGTCGAAAATCTGCAAAACAAAGTTAGTTAG